TTAATGAATAGAATGATTTGTTCTAATGGTGTTTGTAAATAGGATATCAAGTCCGCATCTTGTACAGCATTTAACCACTTAGAAGAATGTATGCAGTGTGTTAATTATTGAAACTATCTTACCGATTTGATTTGAAACTGTCTCACTGCTATTTGTTTATCAATAAAACTATGGCAAAAAAAACCCAAAAAATAACAAATAGAAGAAAAAAAAAGAAAAAAAAAAGAAGAAGAAACAAAGAAACAGGGTAACATACAACAATAGACATGTTACAGATTTCCAAAACAAGAACAGCAAATTAACAGTGGTTGTTATATTACCTATTTTTATTGTCATATCTGTTGCTCAGATCATCAGATACAGGTATGGTCATTTTGAACCATGATTTTAATGTATTAAATTACAAAAAATGAGGTAAAAGATAAAGTTAATAAATGAATACATACTATCAGTTGGTAATGGCCACTGATACTTTAATGTTTTTACTAGGGTTTAAAAAGAAATTCCAAAATCAAAAACAAAGTACCTGACTACGAGTGGTGATTTCATAAGAACTTGGCTTTGCTGCAGTAGGTGGCCAGGCCTTGCTTGGTCTACACAGATGAATTCTGGAAACTGAACACCTGGGACACACAGCAGTAATAGCCAACCTTTCCGCTTCACCCACCTACCTTTCAGTCCCATCTTGTTCTTATCCATGGACTCCTTGGCTTCTGGCGGGATCATCCACTTTCCTCCAGGTCCCTGAATGGCAGTGACATTCCGCTCCTCCCACTGAATAGGTGCCTAGAGGCCATGGGAGCACCATGAGTTGACAAGCCAATGAGACCTCAAGACTGCCAGGCAGGCCAGTGACAGACTCTGTCAACTCTCAAGTCCTGCTGTGCAGAGTTCCTCACACCACATCCTGCCAGTACCCTGCAGGCTCATCTGATATCAGGGACCCACAAGGGGCTCCCATTAGAGTATTGTAAGAAGCAGAGAGAAACACTTCAAGATTCTGTGCATGGGTGGATCTTGGAAACACTAAGCTGAGTACAAGAAGCCAATTACATAGGCCCATGTAAGAGTCTATCTGTACCCTAGAACAGGCAAATAAACATGGGTGATCGGAAGAAATGACAGATTTTTCAATTTAAAAAAATTACAGTAAAAGACACATTGCCAAGAATGATGGGTGTGTCTGAAGCAACGGGGAGCATTTTTTTTTTTTTTTTTTTGCGGAACCGGGGATTGAACTCAGGTCCTTGAGCTTGCCAGGCAAGTGCTTATTCCACTGAGCTATCTCCCCGGCCCCAACGGGGAGCATTTTGAAGGGGATTAATGGTAATGTATCTTTTACTATAACTAAGTTTCTTGGGTTTTGTTTTGTTCTTTCTTTTTGTCTGTTGTTTTTGAGACAGGGTTTCATTATGCAGTTCAAGCTGAACCTATATTTACTTTGTGGCTCAGGCTGGCCTCAAGCTCAGCAGTCTTGCCTCAGCCTCCAGACTGCTGGAATTACACGTGTGCACCACCACTCCCAGGCTATCATAAGTGCTTTAATGGAAATATTCACTGTATTTTTTTTATCATCTCTTGATCAACTGTTCACAGTGACTTTTGTTAAATAAAAACATTACAATGCCAAGTGTGGTGGTGTACACATGCCACAACATTCTCTAGGCTATGGCCGGAGGACATTGTGAGTTCGAGGCCCACCTAGGCTACATAGTGAGTTCAAGGCCAGCCTGGAAGACATGTGAGACTCTGTCTCAAACACAAAACAAAACACAAAAGATAGTCCAATGTGTCCTTTCTTTACCTTATTCACTGGATCTGGCACTGCATGACTCCTGGCTCTTCATCATCACATTTTTTTTTCTTGTCATACTAGGAGCTAAACCCAGGACCTCTGCACTGAGCTATATCCCTACTCAATTCATTTTTAAAATTTTGAGACAGCATCTCACTTCGTTGCATAGTCTAGGCTCAAACTTGTGATCCTCCTACCTCAGCCTCCTACACTGCTGGGATTATGTGTGTCACCAAGCCCAGACCACAACAACACATTTTTAAAAGGTTCTTTCGGGGCTGGAGAGATGGCTCAGTGGTCTAAAGCACCTACTTGGAACAAGCTTGGCAAAGCACAGGGACCGCGGTTTGATCCTCCACCACCACATGCCAGCCAGCCCCGCCCCCTGGTGGGCTGAGCTGGCCACACACACACACACACACACACACACTAAATGTTAAAAATAAATAAATAAATAAATAAATAAATAAATAAATGGTTCTTTCAAGGGGCCAAGGGTATATATAGATCAGTGGCAGAGCATGTGTTTGGCACATGTAAAACCCTGGGCCAATCCTCAGCACCGTTCAGCATCAAGAAAAAAAAGAAAGAAAAAAGAACTCCTTGAGGGGCTGGGGAGATAGCTCAGTAGAATAAGCACTTGCCTGGCAAGCACAAGGGCCTGAGTTCAATCCCCAGGTCCACCAAAAAAAAAAAAAAAAAAAAAAAAAAAAGAGAGAGAGAGAGAGAGAGAAAAGAATTCTTTTAAAATTTCCCATATGAATTTTTCAAACATCAGTTTTCTCCCTCCCTTAAAAAAAGACTTAAACCCAAAAAGAGTTCAAAGATCCACAAATCTTGCAGCACTACTTTGATTACTTTATATATCATGGTTTTTAAATTACCAACAATGCTAGTAACAAATTAACACTGAAATATACATGATTAAAGGGAAGATCTGTGGAGATTAATGATAGACCTTCCCAACTGTATAAAAACATGCATTTCATCATCACAGAAGACAACAGGCTAAGAAATACTTTGCTATGAATTTTTATTAAATGGACTCTTTAGAAAGTCCACTTACTGGGGCCTGGCCTTAGCTCAGTTGTTTAAGTGGCTGCTTCCACAAAGCTGTCAGCCTCAGGTTGCTGTAGTTCGATCCCCACAACACTCCAGCCAGCCAAACCACCCGAGGGCATTCGGAGAAAAAAAAAAAAAAAGTCCACTTACTTTAGCAGCATCAAAAATCTTCATAACTGCAGCTGAAATTTCGGGGCCAATTCCATCTCCTGGAATTAAAGTTACTGTCTGAGCCTGAATATAAGAAACCATTAAAGGAACAGAGTAAGAATCGATTTTTGGTATTTTCAAATTTTAATTTTCTTTTTTTTTTTTAAGAATCAATTTTTGGAGGTTTATAAAAGAATATAATTGACAGAGAAATCCACTTCACAAAGTGCCTCAGAAAGACCCTAAATGCTGCTAAGGAAATAAGGCAACCCTCCCTAGGACCATAAAGCAGAGGCAGAAATCAACAGATAAGAAGCTCCACGAATCTATTCTCCCTGAGCTCAGAGTTCTTAAAGAGATCTCAAATAATGCTCTTTAAATATAGCAAAAATAAAATACACTACACCAAGGAGATTTCCCAATGGATACTTCTTTATAGACAAGCTATGATGAGACCAATTGATCCAAGTCTATAAACCAAAGATAGCAAAATATTTCAAGTGTTCTTTGCACTAAATTCAGAGGGTTCTTTGAGAAGCAGGTTACCTGTCCTCAGGCCACGTCTTCAGGTATACAGAACTCTTTCAGACATCTTTTCAGAACATCAGAAGTCTGTTTGGAAACTCAGTCTCAAACTACACTCCCAGAAAAGCCCTCCACATTCCTAGTTCCTCTGTAAAACTGGTCTATAGTGTCAAATAAATAAGCTCAGCCAAGTAATTTGTAGCCAATAAGAGTAATATATGAAAAGACCCACGAAGTCTGTATAATATTAGAGAATGACAATGAGTGTGCTTATGATTACTTTGTTTCAACAGCTTCCTACAAAATGAAGGCAGCATCTCAAATGCAGAAATAAAAATATGAAAGAAAGAACGAGATGCAAATAACTTAAGCTAATATTCAGACCCTTTCTCTATATTGGAGAACGATACATTCTATCTGTTTTATTGCTGGGAACATGCACCTAACCTTTTTTAGTTCCAGTTGCCTGAGCTACCTGTTAAAAAGAAAATCATGAATTGCCTTTAAATAAACATTAAATAAATGTTCCCTGGTCCTTCACCTTCTACCTCCTGAGCAGGCAGACAGGCAAGTATACAAATATATTTTAAATGGGTAGCCTGAACATTAAGTAACAGCACAGACCAATGATCAGCTCTCCAAATATGTCTGAAATGCTGGCTCTTAGCTACCCTGGAGCCCTAAGTGCAAGTGCAAGGCTCATTTTGCATTTTCTGTATAAGCAGGGCCAAAAGGACCCTTTGATGTCTTCTTTCTGTCCTCCCAATTTATAAGAAACATCATCAGACCATGTGGAAGTCTACTTTTCTCCCACAGTACAGAAAGTAAATAGGAAATAAAATATACCATGGTCTTATAAATCCCTCATGCATAAAGTATTATATGGTAGTATAGGAATTAGGATAGCCAAATCAGATTCCGTAAAAAGAGAATAAAATGAAAAACGAACAGGAAATCACTGACCCACAGTCTTAGAATGTTCCAAAAATGTGGTATCAGCTTTCAGCGCAGAATTCTAATGCTGGGAATTCTAAAAGCAGTAGATTCAATGGACAATGGATGCTCCACTAAAGACTGTATAAGAAAGTATAAGTGTACAGGGCTTAGCAATGTTTGAGAAATTCCTAATTGGCAATCAATCTACTGTTTTTAGGGAAGCTCACAAAATGAAAATGCAAAGCAGGGTTTGAAGCTTCTCAACAATTTTCTCTCAACATGTACTAGCATGGAAAAAAGCCTCTTACCAAAATGCAATGGTGAAATAAAGTAACAGGCTCAAGGGTAATGTCTAGCTATTTTTAACAAGGCTCCTTCAAGGCAGTAATGCCACAGGCTCCCAGAGCCAGCTGTAATATAATTCTTTCACATGGACCAGTGACCTAATAGGTTTGTGTATATGTTTGCCAATAATTTTAGTGTACAGTAACTATGGCCAATTTCCCCCAGTTTTAAATAAATGGAGATTAAATGCCATATAATGTATTAGAGTATCTTTCTTGAGAAACTTCTGAAAGGAAAAACTAAAAAACATAATTATACTCACACCACCAGCAAAACCTCGGGTCACCTGTTTTGGGCTGTGAAATGCCCCCAGCAGCCGAGAGACCTACATGAACATGAACAGAGAGACGTCAGGCAGAGAATGAACCCAACAGCAACAGTGAAGACACACTCATTCTGATGGCTGACAATGCTATAAATTTTAGAAAAATTGAGGAATTTCCCTAATTATAATTTAGAACTCCCATGTGTTAGCTGAGTATGGTAGCTTGTGGAGATTTGAAAACCTAAATACACAACATTTTACATTTGAGCCAAAAATTTAAGCACTACATTTTTTTCAAAGTTGATTTTATAAGTGTAGCTTGTCAAAAATGTTTAAGATTAGAATGAAACTATATTCCTTTTTTAGCTCAAACATCAGATTTTACTCTTTTCAAATGGACATGTGTTCCCCCTTGTCTTCAACTTTGTTTTTGGAGTCTGAACCTTTACTCAAAAACTAGCCTTTGTCAAATGATGAGTAAACAACCAGGCACCAAGAAAGTATGAATGAATTTATTTTCTCATCCTGGGAATCTGCGATCATGTCCTGCCTAAAAAAGTCAGGGCCAGATTCAAATGGACACTGCCAAAACCACCCACCAAATCTTAATCCTAGTAGGACAAAATTTATCCACCACCAGGTAGAGTATTGGAAAAGAAGCCATTTAAAGTTACTTTGTGATAAGCACGTGACTCCTCCTGCCCCAATAAAGAGGGACAAGGCATTCAAATAAAACAGGTTCATTGGGTGGGGGAGATGGCTCAGTACAATAAATGTTTCTCTGGCAAGCACAAGGGCCTGAGTTCAATCCCAGGTTCAGGGGTGGGGAAGAACAGGTTCACATCCTTGTGGCAAAAGACCTGACCAAATTAAGATGTGAACCTGAGTGTGGCCAGGTGTGGTGGTACATGCCGGTAATTCCAGCAGAGGCAGGAGGATTGCACAACATGCCTGAGGCTAGGCAACACTACATTGAGACTTGTCTCAAAAAACCCTAACATAAGAATATTTTTTTTTTTATAGCACAGGCTGTTTTCATCTCATACCTATGCATGTATATATCTCTTCATATTTTATTTTATTTTTTATTTTTTGGCAGAACCGGGGATAGAACTCAGGTCCCTGCACTTGCCAGGGAAGTGCTTATTCCACTGAGCCATCTCCCCGGCCCTGCATGTATATATCACATTATTTTATTTCAACAAAATCTGGAAAGCAGAGTGAGGTGGTGCATGACTGTAATCCCAGGATTATGGGCGGATAAGGTAGGAGGATCACAAATTTGAGAGCAGCCTGTACAAATTAGTGAAATTCTTTCTCAAAATAAAAAATAAATGAATATGGGGCCAGGAAGATAGCTCAGTAGAATAAGCGCTTGTCTGGCAAGCGAAAGGGCCTGAGTTCAATCCCCGGTTCTGCCACAAATACATAAATAAATAAATAAATAAATAAATAAATAAATAAATAAATAACAGGGCTGGGGAAGTAGCTCAGTGCAAAGGCTCTGGGTTCAATTCCTCGTATCAGGGTAAAGGGTTGAGAGGAACAGGACCTGGGTAGACAAAGTATTTAGATAAGAATAACAACTACTCACAGAGCCTAGACTTCCACCCTGAACTTCTGACCAGGCTACTGGGCCATCTTAACCCCTAGCTCCTGGTTCCCTTCTCTTCATACTCCAAGTTCAACATTCAAAATGGCCTGGGACAATGGAAGGCAGGACTTACACAGTGAGCGCTGGATACTGGTGAATTGGCTGGTTATGGTATTTAAGAGCCAGGCAAATCTTTAGAAACTCCCTGTGGGAAAAGCTTTTTGAAGCTGCAGATGTTTTTGCAAACAAAACCATAAATGGCAACCCAATAGAGGAACTGCTCCCCCAAAACCAGCATCCAGGACAGTCTTCTACACTTGGATTGGCCTCCAGAGGATTTTAAGAGGCACTGACCCCAACAGGGAGAAACTGGCCCAGAGGTGAAAGCTGGTGCCAAGCAGTCCATGTCCAAGGAAGACAACATCCATTTCCTTCCTTCCTTCCTACTTTCTTTCTTTCTTTTCTTTCTTTCTTTCTTTCTTTTTCTTTCTTCATGTGATTGAACTCAGGACTTTCACACTGAACTGCACCCCTAGCCCTTTTTTTTATTTTGATGGTGTCTCACTAACAGGACACTACTAACAGGATGGGTTCAAACTTGTAATCCTCCTGCCTCAGCATCCAGTTTCCAGGCCTAAGAATCTCATCTTCTGATTCTGAACTCCAACACCTTCCCAACTCTTTGGTGTTTCCTCTTGCAGTCCACAGTACAGGCACAACAAATTTACCAGCAAACTTATTATCACTAATGTTACTTTAGTCCCCAAGATGAATTACCTATAGGTGTTAAGTGTAAACCCTGGGATTAAGGAATGATTTGTTTTACCAGTAATCCAGAAGTTATATCACCTTGAGAGGCAAAGCAGATCTAACAGTTAGCATCTCAAGCAAATTTGGGTCCGAAAAGACTGATACAGTCAAACCCAATTCCTGAGCCCTACATGCAGCAACCTCTGTCCACTTGATGACTGCCCCCTAAGACTAATCTATTGATGGCCAATAAAGCTTATGATTTTTGTGTTCCTTCTGACTATTCTAGAAGCTTTTACATACACTGTCCTATTTAAACTTCAAATAACTGTGACACAAGAACAGGTATTTTTCTGATGGGCTTAAAAAGGCTGAGAGATGTTCATTTTGCTCAGGGTTACTCAGTCAATCAATGGTTTTGTCACTCCTAAATTCCGTGTAGAGATCTTATCAGTAAATCTCTTATCAATGCACCTCTTTAAACTGTAAATCTTACCGAGATTGGGGGGGGGTTTACCACCCGTTAACAGCGGCAGGGACCTACAAGCTGGTGTCCCTGTGCAGAGCCTGTAATTTGTTATGTGACCTTCATACTGAGACCCAGGATGTCTGGGTTTCGCCCCTGCTCTGACCTCGTGTGACCTTGGGTGAGTCCGTCTGTAGGCACAGGTTAACTCCCTGAGACCAGGGCGTGTCCAAGAGAATCTGGGTAATCTCAAATCCTTTCGATATGCAGCCAGCTGTCAAGGACACCTGCGTGATCACTGCAGGGCACCACCAGGGGCCAGGGTAGGTGCTGGGCCCCTCTCGCGAGTACGGGGTGACCCCGAAGTGCACGGTGTCCATGTCCTTAGAAGGGGAAGCAGGTGCAAACACTCAGGGGCCCCACGAGGAAAGAGCTCACGAGGGCAAACCGCCTGGCTCAGACCGAGAGCTGCCGGGGGCCCGAGCGGACCGGAAAAGAGGCGGCCAGGTGGGTCGTCTGCCGACATCAGGCTCAGTGAGTCCTCACTCGACCCTGTGCCCAGCGGCCCCGCCTCGACCTTGACGCCCTCCTGCCTCGGCCGCGTGGGCCAGTGAGAGATTCCGTACTGGGCGCTCTGCCTCGGCCCGGGACGCCGGGACGCCATCCACACTGCGACCGCGCTGCCGCCGCCCTGCCGGCTGCTTCCGCCCAGTCAGCACGCGCTGATCGCCGCCTGGCCAGCTCCCACCCGCCCGTGCTCACCTTGGAGATCCACGCGGGCCCCGCCATCGCATCCGCGGTCTCGCCAGGCGACAGCGGCGACAGCACAGCGCGTGCGCGCAGTGGTCCACAGAGCCCGCCCCCTTACCGTGACCACGCCCTCACAGGACACGCCCCTGTCTTTCCGAATTCAATGCCTCCCCCACTTTGAGAGCCCGCTGGCCAATCTCCGACTTTCCTTCACAGGACACGCCCAACCGGCAGCTAGTCTGCGACCCGGAAGCGGCCTGAAGAGAGACTCCGCCCTCTTTGCTCCTCATTGGTTAATCCACGCTTGCTGGGTGCCAATCAAATTTCTAGATTTAGAGACACACTTCCTCTTCCAGAGTTTACTATCCATGGGGAGCGAGGCAGACCCTTTACTCCAGAAGTTCTTGAGCGTGACTTGTATATCGTAACATTTACACACAGTAAGTGTACGGCTTGGTGCTTTTTATAAGTGCAAACAGTTGTGCAACCCTCACAGGATCTAGCTTTTTTAACCCCTGGTAATTGAACCCAAGGCCTTCACCCTCAGCTACACCTCCAGCCCATTTTTAATTCGTTTACTGTGATTCACGGTTTCTCTGAGTTGCCCAGACTGAGTTCCAGATTGTCTTGCTTTGCCTCAGCTTTGCAGAGCAATGCGATCACAGGTGAGCGCCACCAGGCTTAGCTGGTCTAGTTCTTTAGGTGGTCCTGGGGATTGAAGGTAGACCCTTCACAGAGAGCTACATCCCCAGCACCTTCATTTTTTTTTATTTTGAGGTGGGGTCTGCTAACTCTTTAGATTGTTAGTTTAGGGAGGTTGTCCAGGCTGGGCTTGAACTTAAATCCATCTGCCTCAATTTCCCAGCATGCTGGGGTTACAAACATGGCACCCCCGTGCCCAGCTAAGATCTACTGTTAGACACTGGAAATGTCCCTTGTGCCCATTTTCATTTCCCCATGCTGGCCTCAGTCTCTGTGATGATCTGTCTTTGCATCTTTACAGCTTGCACGTGCCAACTAGATGGCAGGAGATGGAATGCCAGAATGCTGGAATTTAAAAATCCAGTGGGAATGACAGAAACTCTGTAATTATACAAACTATGAAAAGTGTCAAATTAGGATCTTGGCAAGGCAGAATCAGGTGACCCAATTCAAACCTAACATGGGGGCAGGGAAGGCTTCTTGGAGGAAATAGCACCCACATTCACCTCCCCCTTGTCCTTATAGCAGGGTACCTCGCAAGGAGCTGGGGAAGCGGAGTGATTAGCCCAGATGTCCTCCTACCCAACCCTGGGAAGAGTTCTGCCCGGAGAGGAGCTAGCTGCCTGCCAGAAAGGTGATGAGTTCCTTGAATGATACAGTGGTTCTCCTGCGATAATTGTCAGAAGGCGTCTTCCCCAAAACCTCCCTGCTGCAGGCCCTGGCAGTTCCACCCTGAAGTGCTCTACTACAGTCCCCTTCTCCATCCCCACAGCTCTTGTCCAGGCCTGACCATCTTGCACCCAGTTTTTCCAGCAGCCTCCTTCTCGATGACCCTTTCTGCCCTTTCTCCTCCTGCCTTCTGGCACAGCTGTGTCCAGGACTCACACTGCCTTTGAAAGTCCTGGCTCCTTGCTTTCTCATGTTACCACTGTGTTTTTCCCGCCAATTTCCCATCACTCTGTCCAGCCCCAAACACGGGTAGCACCAGCCAAGTAGGCCTGCTGGCCAGCTCCCAAATGGTTGCCATGTTTCACTTTGAGTGCCTACATGCCCTTCAGCCCTATTCCCACCTGCTCAGATTGTAGTTGCTTGTCAAGACACAACTCATGTGTTGATTCCTTTGGGAAGTCCCCAAGATGTGTCTACATGGCCCCTGTTTTGATTCAAAGCCCCTGGCACTTGTGTCCTGTCTTCCCTGAGAACTATATAATATTCTTTCCTGATGTGTACAATAATGCTGTATACCATAAAGCCTCTGGTGGAAACTGAGTACAGCCAGTAAACTGAAACAGGTGGGCACCCACATGGGGAAGCCTCCTAGGTAGAGGCAGTTCTCCCAGATGTTAAGCCTCCTAGGAACTTCAGTCAACAGCAGCTTTCCAGGCAGAGTCCCTGTCTAGTGCACTCTATGTGTAAAGGTATGAGATGGCCCAGCCCTACCCTCCATGTCTAGACTCAGAAAGGTGGACAAGTGGTGGGAAGGAGAGATCAAAGATTCTGTCATGGATCTGGCATTTGATAGTCCTAAAGGTAGAATGTCAGCACCTGGAGACGGGCCATGAGAACAGGCCAATATAGCAAAGCTGGAGAGGCAAAGACGTGTGAGTTCTCAGAGCCCCAGATTCTCAGGGCTAGAAGGAAACTCAGAGGTTCTCCATGCCAGACCCCACAAGATGCTCTGTGCCCCTGAGGCAGCTGGAAGGACGAGCAGGCCCCAGAAGCCTCATCCCTGTTCGTCACTAGTGTTCATTTTCTCAGTTCTCCAAGATGCCCACCACTTTCCCCTAGAAGAGTAGCCTGTCCTTGTCCCTTGTTCTGTGTAGTCGCCCCACCCCCAACAAGGTGTGTTTGGACTGGATGGTGATGAAACTTGACCACTCAGGAGGATCTAGAAGGCGGGTCCTTTTCTGTAACCACCATTAACCCCTCCACTGGAAGAAAAATGCAAAATCAATGTAGGAACTTTTAAATGAATAAGCCATCAAAATTGAATAACAGTGACCACTTATCAATGCTTTTTTTTTTTTAAAGCGATATAAAGTCATTTTAATGGAATTTTCCTGGTTTATTTAAATTATTTTTATTAAAAATATGATTGATGAGGGCAGGCCAGATAGCTCAGCAGATTAAAGCACCTGCTTAGCCAAAGCACAGTGGCCAGGGTTTGATCCCTGGTGTGTTGTGTGGGGCCCTGCCCCCGGGCACACACTGAGATGGCGATTGAGATGGGGTGTGGTGGTGCGCACCTGTAATCCCAGCCCTTAGGAGGCTGAAAACAGGAGGATCACTGCCAGTGTGATCTGTGTAGTGAGACCGTGTAGACTCTGTATTAAATACAATTATATATATATATATATATATATATATATATATTTATATTTGATATCCAGGCATGGTAGTACATGCCTGTAATCCCAACACTTGAAAGACTGAGGTAGGACTAGGACTGCTAAAATTTTGAGTGTACCCTGGGCTACAAAATGAGTTCAAGGCCAGCCTAAACTACATAGAGAGACCCTTTCTCACAAAGATAGATAGATAGATAGATAGATAGATAGATAGATAGATAGATAGATGATAGATAAGCATGGTTGGTTGAGTGGATGGATAGATGGATGGTTGAATGAATGGAAGGATGGATGAAGATGATATGCAGGGGCCGGGGAGGTGGCTCAGTGGAATAAGCGCTTTCCTGGCAAGCGCAAGGGCCTGAGTTCAATCCCCGGTTCTGAAAAAAAAAAAAAAAAAAAAGATGATATGCAGTTTATTGAATGGATGGATGGGTGCATGGGTGGTTGGATAGAAGACAGAGAAAGAGAGAGATAGGAGGCAAAGGACTCAGCCAGTTCATAGCCAGAGTCACACAAAGAAAATTTAAAACATAGTCAACCTTAACTATAATCAAATGTGTGCAAATTTTTTAAAACTAGACAAACCTTTCACCCTCTTTGTTAGAGATCAGTTAAAACTCTAATGTTCTGCACTGTCCAATCTGTGATGAAACTCCTACACTCTTTTTTGGCCACCCTTTAAGGATTGCTATGCTCATTTTGGAAAACAGTTTAGCAATGTGTCTCAAGAGCCTAGAAGTGTTCTTACTCTTTCCCCCAGTAAATCCATTTCTGAGAATTAAATCACTTGAAAAACCACAGAAAGAAAAAACCATCAGCACAAAGATATTCATTATGGGATTATCTATAATTTTGAAAATTAAATAAAGAGACTTAATGATTAAAAAAGGAAGTAGTTATGTAATTTAGGTTAAATAAATTGAATGGACTCTGCAGCCCTCAAAAGTGATCATTACAAAGACTCCTTAGCATCTTGGTAAATGTTTATGATTTCCTGTTTTAAAAAATTGAAGCGTAAAATGTCTGTACTTGGTTACACCTTTCCACCTGTGAGCAACACCCCTCTTGCAATTTTTTCCCTCTTGATAAAATCCTATGCCAGTCTCCTAGCTGCTCAGCTGGGAGTCTGAAGGTCAGCTCTATTTTTAAAATGGAACCAGAACTGGATACTTTTCCCTGCCTCCACTGCTGCTACTACAGTCTGGTCCGAGTCAGTCATCTATTGCCTGAACCAACTCAGTAGCTGTTATGGTTTAGATCTCTGATATACCCCAAAGCCCATGTATCCAGAGGCAGTGCTTTTGGAGATATCTGGATCATGGTGCTCTATTCATCAATGGATTCATCTATTGATGAATTCATAGCTGAATGTGCTGTTAGGACATGGAGACTGGTTGGAAGAAGCAGTCACTGGGGTGTGACCTGGAAGGGTAGATTCTTTTTTTTAATTAATTAATTTTTTTTTATACATTTTAGGTATACATAATGATCACATTTATCAGAGGGGATTTATGCCTGTATATGAGATATCTTGATTCTTTTCTTCCCTCATTCCCCTACCTGCCCTGGAAGGGTATATTGTTGTCCTTGGTTCCACCTTTTTCTCCCTCCTTGCTGGATGCAGTGAGATGAGAAGCTCCCCACCCCCACCTCACCATGATGGAGCATGTTTATACCTTGGAGCCAGCAAGCCATGGACTGAATCCCTTGAACTGTGAGCCAGATGTACTTTTCCCTTAAACTGCAGACATTGTGTGTTGTGTCTTGGTGATGGGAAAACTGGTCCCCCGTATTCTAACCTTGTCCCCTTCAAGTCCTTTTCCTGCAAAAGAGACCCTGTTAAGACATAAATGAGGGGCCGGGGAGATGGCTCAGTGGAATAAGTGCTTCCCTGGAAAGCGCAAGGGCCTGAGTTCAATCCCCGGTACTGAAAAAAAAAAAAAAAAAAAAAAGACATAAATGAGCTAAGTGTGTTAGTTGACACTTGTCAGCCCAACTACTAGGGAGGCTGAGGCAGGAGAATCACTAAGCTCAAGGTCAGCCTGGGCCACTTAGAAAGATGGTG